CACTCTAGAGAGCTTTTTTCTTTCCTTTCTGTTCTCACCTTCACTTAATAAGCTTTCACTTTGCTTCACCCTTTTGTGTCGGGAATATTCATTCTTGGACTCCATGAGACAAGAGCCCTGCACCCCTGTAACAGTAGGAAGAAGGAGAGAAGGCTGGGCTCATCCAGTCCGAGTTGCTGCCACTGGATGGTGCATCCTCAAGGCCAGGGGGCCCTGGCTCCCCCAGGCCAGTGCTCACAGAGGGAAGAGATAGTGACAGGGACTGCCAAACCCTCAGGAACTGTGAAAAGACTGTCTCTCAAAAGGGAGGCCCCAACTTGGGCTCACCAGGCTTCTGGACGTGGGGCCGACAGCCCACACCCACCAGCAGAGGCTGTTGGAGCTCTGGAAGACTGGGCCTGTCCGTGGCTGAGGAGAGGGTCCTGGAAGGGTTTCTGCCCATGGCCATAGGTCGGGACCTCCTGGGCCCCTGCACTGACACCTCCCCCCGACAGACCCTGGAGCCTCGGAAACCTGCAGGTGATGGAACCCCGTGAACTCCGCGCTCCCCTGGACCTGGGCCTAGGGACTGGGGGTTGGCGCCCTCCCCTGGGCTCCCCCTAGAAGACACATAAAATTGGGGCGCCTGGGTGGCTCAGTCGTTAAGCGTCTGCCTTCGGCTCGGGTCATGGTCCCGGGGTCCTGGGATCGAGCCCCACATCAGGCTCCCTGCTCGGCAGGAAGCCTGCTTCTCCCTCTCCCACTCCCCCTGCTTGTGTTCCCTCTCTCACTGTGTCTCTGTCAAATAAATAAATAAAATCTTAAAAAAATAAAATAAAAATTTATTAAAAAAAAAGAAGACACATAAAATTAACCATCCCAGGGCCTACTTCTAGATTTTATATTAAATTATATTGATAAGACTGTATACTTATTTGCCAAACCAAACAGTTTTAACATTAACTTTATAAGAAATGTTAATATCTGACAGGCTAGCCCACCCATAATTATTTTCATGGTTCCTTGCTATTCAAGTTATTTTTACACATAATCTTTTTTTTTTAAGATTTTTAACCAGCTTGAAAAATTCCACAAGTTAAATTGTTATTTTTATTGGAATACAATAACATCTGGAGACCTGATGTATTTATAACACTGAGTATTTCTGTTGGAGAGCACATTATGCCTTTCCATTTGCTCCTTTTCTTTCTGTCACTATCCTTTTGAATTTTTCTTATTTGTTGCCAAGTCTTAGTTTGGGAAGTTTTTTTTTGAAGGTGTCGTAGTTTTGTTTTAGTTTTGCTATTTAATGGGTCCTTTTACGCCACTGTATCTTATCCAACAGGAGGAGACCACCTTGCAAGTGCACCCTACTTTACCAACTTCTTTACTATCCCGGCAGGAGGAAGGATGGTTTCCTAGCAACAGCCCGGCCAATGAGAGACAGTCATAGCTCAGTCAATGAGAAGTCAGGACACTTCAACTCCCTTTACTGCAGTGAACATTTTGTTTTTAATGGCCTTCCCAAATCCCCCTTCTCCTCTCTAAAAGAGTTGCCCTCTCCCTTGTTCCGACGACTAGCCTGTGGTTTTGCCGTGGTTTGCTAGTCCTGGATTGCAATTCTCTGCTATTCCAGGATAAAGCGATTTCTGCTGGTAAGATAACTAGCAGCTTTCTTTTTAAGGTTAACGGTGAGCACTTGAAGAGCGAGATGTTGTCTTTTTAAAATCTCATGTTCTTTGAGCAGTGAAGCCAACAACAGGAACCACATAGATGCTCCTGCACAAGATCGACCAGCAACTCTGCGCCGACCCAAACATCTGCCACTACACAGATGGTCTCACAATTTCTAGAAGCTCCCCCACTCTCTCACTGTTCCCTCTACTCCCAAACGCCCACCCAGCACTATTCTCGTGGGAACTTGAGAGGTCTGTGGGCCCTTAAAGGTCTGATCGGCCACTCCCTTCATGATGCCAGGGGCAGTAGTCCACTTAGCTGGGCAACTTTGCCTGGAATCTGGTGATCCTTCCATGGTAAGAATTCTGGAGTTAGGAGGCCTAGTTTAAGTACAAGGAAATCATGTTTGTTTTTGTGATCAAAACTTAGTAAGGGCCAGGGGCGCCTGAGTGGCTCAGTCGTTAAGTGTCTGCCTTCGGCTCAGGTAATGATCTCAGGGTCCTGGGATCGAGCCCCACATCGGGCTCTCTGCTCAGTGGGGAGCCTGCTTCTCCCTCTCCCTCTGCCTGCCGCTCTGCCTACTTGTGCTATCAAATAAAGAAATAAAATCTTTAAAAAAAAAAAAAAAAACAACTTAGTAAGGGCCAGAAACACTATTCCCGTTTTATCTGCTGAAAGCCAGTAGGTCTTAAACTGGCCCACTTCTGTGGACCCACTGTCCTTACATTTGATGCCTCATTTTTATGCAAAATACTTGTATTTTTTTTCAGGTTTTTTTCTTCTATTTTATTTATGTCTTCTTACTTCTGATGACTTTTTTTTTTTAATATGAAACACTTCACAAATTTGCATGTCATCCTTGAGCAAGAGCCATGGTAGTCTCTGTATCATTCCACTTTTAGTATATGTGCTGCCGAAGCCAGGGTTACTTCCGATGACTTTTAAACCTACGTTATTTCAACATGCTTTTTACTCACAAATGCCACTTGTACTTTTAGTTTAAGAATTCTCTGAGTGGGAGCACCTGAGTGCTCAATTAGTTAAGCGTCTGTCTTTTGATTTCGGCTCAGGTCATGGTCTGAGGGTCGTGAGATTGAGCCCTGCGTGGAGCCCCACCTTGAGCCCTGATCCAGGCTCCTCACAGGGCATGGAGCCTGCTTAAGATTCTCTCTCTTTCCCTCTCCCTCACCACCGAACCCCCGACCCTGCTTGTGCTCTCTCTCGCTCTAAAAAAAAAAGAAAGAAAGAAAGAAAAAGAATTCTCCGAGTGGTTTTCTAATATACTTACTATTCCATTTGTTAGGTTTAAACCTTTGAGCCGTATACACTTTATTTGGTGTCTATACATTGTCTCATCACACATTACTGAGTTACATAGTTGTCCCCTGAATGTAATGCAATATTCATTGTATACTAAATGGTCATATATAGCTACTGCTAAAGGTGGACTTTACAAGGAAGGGCACAGATGGCCTAGGAGACCCTTCCAGAGCCTGAAAGTCTGGTAGAGCAAAGAATCTTTGTCAGGACACAGGATGGCCTGGTCCATCCTAAAGACCTGCCGTCAGCTCAATGCGCTACGCTCAGCCTGGGACGCAGGATACTCTGCTCGGTCTCCTGCCCTGCGCAGCCTTCACCAACGCGTGGGGACAGAGAAGAAGCAATGAAAACTGCCATACTGCGCCTGCATGCTGGGGCTTCTTGACAGACACGCACTGGACTCAGGGCAGCCAATCCCCGCGGGGTGGGGCGGGACCGTCCACGGGGGTGGGGTTCTGCCAATGACTGACACACACAGCTGGCCCTACGCTCCGCCCCATTAGGCCCTTTCTGACCGCCAATTGGAGGGAACAGTTTGATTGCAGCGCTGATTGGCGGCTTCTGCCTGACAGGGCTTTACAAGCCTGCGTCTCGCGCTGGGAGGCGCCCCACTTCGCACCGGGCGGGAAGCGCGCGGGGGCTCCGCCAGGGCGCCGGACCAGGGTGGGCAGTGAGGGAGGCCGGGGAGACTGACAGGAACACGGAGGCCTTTGCCGTGCCCTGTGAAAACCTTCTAAACCCTGACTCTGAAACCTTCAAATCCCACCCGGGAGACCCTAGATCCCCTCACCCTGGCTGGCTCCAAATCCCCTCAGCCTCAAGGGACACCACATCTCGCCTCCTTAAGGGAACCCGATTCCGCTGCTCTGGTGGGACCTCACATCTCGGCGTGAGACCCCAAAGCACCTCAGCTGCAGAAACCTCAAATCCCTTTACCCAGAGAAACACTAAATCCCTTAATACTTAGACCCCAAAATATCCTGAGTAACAAAAATTGCCCTCAGCCTGAGGCACCCCCAAAACCCTCAGCCTGAGACACCCGACATGTAGCGCCTGCAGAGAACAAATTTCCCCAGCCTCAGAGACCCTAAATACCCTCAGCCTGTGAACTCTCAAATCCCTTCAGCTTCACAGACCCCAGGTGACCTCCGAGTCGGGAAACCTAAAGCCCATTAATGAGAGACTCCAAATCTGAGAATGAGAGACCTCAGACTCCCTCAGTGTCGAAGACCCCAAACCCTCTCAACCTAAGCATTCTAAATCTCTCCAGCCTGAAAGACCCCAGATCTTGTCCTGAGAGACCGCCAATACCATCAGCCTGAGGACCCCCAAACGCGCTCTGCCGGATGCCCCAAATGCCCTTGACACCAGAAACCCCAACCCCCTCACCCCGAGTGAGACCCAACCCCCTCACCCCGAGATCGCTCTGTCCCTTCGAGATCGAGCCTGTTTGTACCAGATTTTTCCAGAATCCCCAGGGGGGTATCCCAAGAAACCCTTCTTTGAGAAACGCTCACTTCCCGTCCCTGGAACAGAGCTGTGACCGTCTGTCCCCGGGCCTCCTGGGTGCTCTCCTGGCCTTGCACCTCAGGACTCCCACCACACACCCACACTCACACCCTCCGAGGAGCCTTTGCCACCTTTTCCTCAGATGGGCCAAACGGCAGTGGAATAAAAGAAACAAAATCTAGCTCATGGTAGGGAGTCTGCCACCGCCAGTAGGGACTCTTGCATCCCGCCAGCGCGCCCAGCCCTTCCCCGCGCCCGTGAGCCCTCTCTGGGGTCCCCAGCCC